TTCTTTCTTCTTCTCTTTTTTTTTTTTAGACAGAGTTTTGCTCTTGTTGCCCAAGCTGGAGTACAATGGCACGATCACAGCTCACTGCAACCTCCACCCCCTGGGTTCAAGCGGTTCTCCTGCCTCAGCCTCCCAAGTAGCTGAGATTACAGATGTGCGCCACCACACCCGGCTAATTTTTTGTGTTTTTGGCAGAAATGGGTTTTCACCAGGTTAGCCAGGCTGGTCTTGAACTCCTGACCTCAGGTGATTGGCCCACCTCGGCCTCCTAAAGTGCTGGGATTACAGGCATAAGCCACTGTGCCCAGCTAATCCTACAGCTTTTCTTCTGATCTGCCTCTGCCAGTTCTGGAGATGATTCTATTCTGATATTTTAGTTATCCGCCAATGCTAATTCTATCTCTTAAAACAAATGAGTTAAGAATTCCTCTTGAAAATTCTCATTCTTATTCCAAATTGACAAGAATCTGTGAAAACATGGCTTAAATGTATAAACATTCCTGTGGCTTATTCTACCATTGGAAAAAGTCCATATGTAGTAAAGAAAAATCATTACTGAAAAATATAGGACTAAACTTCAATTTATTTCCATTCATTCACTGATTCATCTATTAATGAGTATGTATTTTAAGTAAGGTACCCAAATAGTCACAAGATGAAGCCAGAGAAAGCTACAAAAAGTTTTTAAATGATATTTTTTAAAAAGCAGTTTTCTTTTCATTTTTATTTTTTTGAAACAGGGTTTCACTCTGTTGCCTAGGCTGGAGTGTGATGGTGGTGTGATCACAGCTCACTGCAGCCTCAACCTCCCCAGACTCTGGTGATCCTCCTTCCTCAGCCTCCAAAGTAGTTGGGACTACAAGCACATGCTACTATGCCCGGCTAACTTTTGTATTTTTTTGTGAAGATGGGGTTTTTCCATGTTGCCCAGGTTAAAAAAAAAGAGCAATTTTCAAAGATAGCATCCCTCTTTAAACCACTGGTAATGGATTTTGAAAGGACTCATACTAGTATTTGCTGTGGTTGAAGTTAAACTTAAGTGTTATTAGAGCACAATGCTTCTAAGTGATTAATAAAAAAATTTTAATGCACATATTAGATCCACAAATATATCTTAATGAAATCTAGTAATACCCGCAACGTAGAAATGAGGAGGTCTATGTATTTAACAAAAGTCACAAGTGAAGAGAATAGACTCTGCCCCTGTTGGCTGAGCCCCAATTTCTCTGCCTTTCCTGACTCAGTGCCACAACTATAAGTAACACTAAGTCACTTTTTCCCCTTCTGCCACATCTACCTTCCTCATTTCAGAAAAACAACCAAAGACAACAAATACATCAAAACCTGAGCTCTATGAAAACATTAAAATCTAGAAAATGAGACACATATTCAGCACAACTGCATTTAAAGCAACATTCATACTTCCCTGAAAATGCAAAGGAAAGATTCTAGAAAACAACTCAGCATGGAAACCCTATTAGACTGTGGGAGGTGATCAGGCTTAAGGAGAGTTAGTGTTAAGCAGAGAATGGCACTTGTAAATAGTTGCTTTCTGGTGTTATAAACAATGCAAGGCTGCTGTGGCTCTCTGTCAATCATGTGCATGGGGCCCCCTTTTTGCAGACTCCATTAAACAACAGAGGAAAACTGAAAGCTTTCAGGAGACATAAGGTTCAACTAGACAAGTAATTATGATGTGCCTCCTATGCACAGACACCACATGATCAGCAAGACACAGTCCTGGGACATTGTACAAGGTCAAGGGGCTTGGATGGGTCACTTTCCATCTTCCTCACAGCTCTGGGCCTGTGCATTCCCTGCTGTCTAATTGTGGCTGCCACTCTATGTTCGTGTCCAAAGCACTCAATCACATCATGGAAAGTTCACTAGAAACTTGGATACCTCACTTGTGCCCTTTTAAACATTGCTAGTCTTCCTGTCACACACCCACAATGTGGCACTGGGGCTGGACAGGAAGAAAATGCGGAATGCGTTGTTTGAAAAGAACTGAAGGGCAAAGTGGAGCAAGAGGCACAGCAAAGATAGAAACGTTAGGGCCATCCTGGAGAAGTTGCCCACTTCCAAGCTCAGTGACTTTGGTGAAGTAGAATGATGTCTCTACATCTCAATTTCCTCACATGTAAAACTGGAAGAATCCCCACAGCAGATAGGATTGGATTCCAGTGAATACAATAGTAACAAAAGTTTTAATTTTTTTTTCTGGTAACAGGAATATCAAAGGCAGGCTGGTAAGGTAGACTCCTCAAATCATTTAGGACCTGGTTATTTCCAGATGACTATTTGGCCATCTTCAGGGAGTGATCCTTGACCTCATGATGCACAACTGCTGCCATAGCTCCAATAATCATATCTAAGTTCTGGACAACAGGAAAAATGGAAAGGTATATAACCTTCCTTATACTGTTAAGTCCCACAGTTATTCGGCTCACATGTCATTGCCCAACAATTAAATACATGGCCATACCTAACTTCTAGGGAAGCTGGGACACATAATCTAGCTACACAACCATAGGTCCACATAAAAATTGGGATTCTGTTACTAATGAAGAAGAAAGTGTATATTGTAAGAGAACCTGGAGCCTCTACCCACTGCCTCTCCTTCTAAGATAGAAACACTCTTAATTTTTAAGTGAGAGACTGGTGTAATAGGAACACAGAGGAAAAATATTCTAATCTACTACCTGGCAAAGTAATTTTACTTGTCAATTTGACATTTCATTAAGTATTTCAAATGACAGTATTTGAATAGATGGAATTCTACCACTCATTCTCAACCCATTACCTTCTGCTATATCAAAACATACGTTCTCCATATTACCTGAAGCCTGTTATGATTTGCACTAGAGAAAAAAGAAAAAATCCAAAGTTCAGGAGTGCTCAAGGAAAGACAATCATGGGTACTGATGAGATGAGAACAGAGACACTGCCTCAATTCTATTAGCCAAAGGGTTTATAAAACTCAGCTCTTTTGTTGTGAGATTGTCAATTCTGTAAGCACAGGCCTAGGGCTGGGCCCTCAAACTGAATGAGTGAATGAATGAATGAACGAATGATGGTTAAAGCACTTTGTATATACTCTTTTATTAATAAATATATATTACACCATGGAATACAATGCAGCCATCAAAAACGATGAATTCGTGTCCTTTGTAGGGACATGGATGAACCTGGAAACCATCATTTTCAGCAAACTAACACAAGAACAGAAAATCAAACACTACATGTTCTCACTCATAGGTGGGTGTTAAACAATGAGAACACATGGACACAGGGAGGGGAGCATCACACACTGGGGTCTGTAGGGGGGAAATAGGGGAGGGAGAGCGGGGGGTGGGGAGTTGGGGAGAGATAGCATGGGGAGAAATGCCAGATATAGGTGATTGGGAGGAAAGCAGCACATCACATTGCCATGTGTGTACCTATGCAACAATCTTGCATGTTCTTCACATGTACCCCAAAACCTAAAATGAAATTTAAAAAATACAAAAAGAAATAAAATAAGTATATATTACATATATATAAAACAAATGTAATTTATTCATCCTGAATATATGCTTGATCTCTGATGTATGCTAAATAGATATTTTATTAGATATATGCTGAATAAATACTTCCTTTTATTATAAAATATGTATCTCTGGTATGTGTTAAATATCTGCTGTATTCGATTATAAAACATATATCTCTGGCATGTGTTAGATAGGTACTATATTTGATTAAAAAATACATATGTCTTGTATGTGTTAGACAGATACTGTGATTATAAAATACCTATCTCCGATATATGCTAAACAGATACCCTATTTGATTATAAAATATATTAAAATATATATCTCTGGTATGTGCTAGATATCTACCCTATTTAATTATAAAATATATATCTCTGGAGTGTGTTAAAAAGGTACTATATTTGATTAAAAAATACATATCTCTAGTACATATTAGATAACTGATTATAAAATACATATCTCTGGTATGTGCTAAACAGATTTTCTATTTGATTACAAAATACATAACTCTTGAATGTGTTAAATAGCTATTCCATTTGATCGTAAGATGCATATTTCTAGTATGTGTTAGATACTGCATTTGACTATAAAATGCATATCTCTGGTATATGCTAAACAGATACTCTATTTGATTATAAAATACATATCTCTGGTGCCTGTTAAACAGCTACTGTATCTAATTATAAAATGCATGTATCTGGTATATGTTAAATAGATACTATATTTGGTTATAAATACACATCTGTGGTATGTGTGAAACAGATACCGTATTCGAGAATAAAATGCTCATGTTGAATGCAGTGAACGAGCTGCCTCGGGTAGAATGGTGAACACTCAGAACAAACTCTGCGTAGATCACAGAAGGAAGCTGGGTCACACTCAGCTCAGACTTTAGATGGATGCCCATGTCAAAATTTCCCTGAAAGAACTGGCATACTGTCTTAAGTGCTATGAGGAGTATTCTCCTCAAACAAAATGGGTCTCGGCCTTGCAGTGATCAATGTGTCTGGGTAAGTAGAGAGTCTTGGAGAGGAGTGGGTCATCCCTCAGCAGAGGGGCTGAGGGCAGGCTAGAAGGAAACTGTGCTGCCTTGTCTGGAGGAAGACAAGGTGTGGAGCCCTGAAGCCCTTTCCCACCCTGACGGCGGTACAACTCAGCTTAGAAGGGGCTGTGAGTAGGACTTTACTCGGTAGAAAAAAGAAATCATTCACTGTAACAACAACAACAAAAAGATATATATATATAAAGATGAAAATAAGAGCATCGCAGCCAATCATTCCCATACACGAGATCTTGATGATGTTACCACTAGCCCTGTATCTTTTCCCTCTTAAAGAGAAACAAAGCTATTTATGAGGAAAAAATACATAAACCAATTTGGAGCCATTAGAATACTTATGAAATTGGATGTTTCAAAAGAAACATATTAATATAGGGAGGACGGTAATTCCTCAGTAATTACAACCTTACCTGCCCTTTGTATTCCACTGGCTTCAGTCCTGCATAAATGGGCACAAAACTGCTGGCTAGGAGGACCTAGACGGATAAAGAAGCAGCTCATGACTACAGGCATGAACATTCAGACAATACATTTGATTTAGTAATGACTAGCAAAATCTAAATAAATAACCCCCAGACTTCAAGTGCAGCACTGTACATAATTACATAAAAGATAATGCTTTTAATATCTGAAAAGACTCCAAAGAGATAGGTACAAGCTGATACACTGAATCAATCAACCTCACCTGGATAAAAATCAGCATTTTAATAGTAGACAAGTTATTACAAAATGAAATTTAAGGTAAGCTTAAATTTCTGAGTATGCAAAGGTTACAAGTAAATTATTTGTAATGTTCTATCATATACTATAAAAATCGTTACAGTGCTTTCCTACTTTCCGGAGGAACAAACCCCTCTGATTATGACAGGGGAAGTTAGTCCACAGCTCAAAGATGTTCTCATTTATGTCACCAGGATTTGCAAAGGGAATGACACATTTTCTGTTCCAGTGATGTGGTCAGGATATGTAATGGAGCCCTGGCAAGCAGTGACACCAATTATAATTTATCTCCCATTTAAAAAGTTGAAAACGATTGTCATTTAGTAAATTACAGTTCCTTACTTCATAAGAAGTTGGACTCTGATAGCTTTTCTGAAATGTAAATGTTTTATTTTGCAATGTAGTTTCCAAATCACTAGTGTTCTATTTGAAAACATACAGCATTCGATACTGAATGTTTTTTTAAGCTATAATCTTTCAAATGGTAAGTGAAAGACTCTATGGCTGTTTGATGTCAAAGATTTCATGAGATTTTTTTTTTTGAGACGGAGTTTCACTCTTGTTGCCCAGGCTGGAGTGCAATGGTGCGATATCCGCTAACCACAACCTCTGCCTCCCAGGTTCAAGCTATTCTCCTGCCACAGCCTCCTGAGTAGCTGGGATTACAGGCATGCACCAACACATCTAGCTAATTTTTGTAATTTTTTTTTTTTAGTAGAGACAGGGTTTCACTATGTTTGTCAGTCTGGTCTCGAACTCCTGACCTTGTGATCTGCCCGCCTCAGCCTCCCAAAGTGCTGGGATGCAGGGGTGAGCCACCGTGCCTGGCTGAGATTTTTTGTCATCATACATTATTCAGAAATGGATTATGGCTCAAATGTTGACTTACAGATTATCCATTTACGATTATTTACAACTCAGAAGGCATTTCCTCCAAAAATCAATGTTATAGGTATGTTTTTGGGTCAGCTCTCAAAAGCCTATTTATTCTGAACTCTGCAACTAAATTACAGACTTAGTCACCGGTCTAACAATTTCCATAGGAAAATCCTCTTTTGAGCTGCGATCCGACCAGGTGGAACCCACTCTTGCCATGTTTATTTCTGCACCATGTACAGGGAACTTCCATAGCTTTCTTATGCAGTGGTTCTTCCTTGAACATGTCTCCTGTTTCCTCATTACCAAAAAACCCACTGAAAGGACAGGGACTCGTGTCCCTCCTTGTATGTCCAGGCTTAACAAAGCTAATACTCAACAAACATTTGTTGGGCATCTCTCTCCTTTCTCTGTGATGTGAATGGACACACCCAACACTCTTTCACCTACCTCGATAGTGGGACTAAAGAAGGTTGCCCAATGCTGTTGTTGGCATGTCAGTTTCAAAGGCACAGAGCCTGGTTGTAACAGCTCCTACAGCAACAGGCTCCTGACAAGTGCCCAAAGAAGCTTCTGCGGCCTCAGGTTTCAGCAGTGGCAAATTCAAGGGTAACAGCACAACATAGGGACTCCAGCACGAAAGAAGGTAAGAAATAGCCATGTGTGAAAGGATTCTGTTGCACCATGCTGGCGCTAGGTGCCAGAACCAGCCAAATAATTTCTCGGTCCAGTGCAAAATAAAAATGCATGGTCCCTTGTTCAGAAAGGATGGAGAATATTAAAACATTGGGAGCGCAGCATTAAACCAATGGTGAGGCCCTTTGAATGGTGGATCCACATGCAAATGCACAGGTCATATACTCATCAAGTAAACTTTGCCTGAAATATAGTGTCTCATTTAATTCTTTCACAACCCTGTCTCAAAAAGATAAAGTTGCTCAAAGGTCTCTCTGCTAGTAAGTGGTTGAGACTGCCCCTGGAACCAATTTATTTTAATATAAAATGTATATTTTTACCAGAGCCAATGTATATTGTCAGATTTATCACAATGGGTCTTTTTTCATCTTTTGGTCAATTTTACACACATCTATTTCCATTGCTTTTTTACTGAAATATTGAAAGCATGCTAATTTGCGGCACTGTTTCCCAAAGGAAAGCAGGGACTTTTACTTATTTTTTATGTGCTTGTTTATTTATTATAAGGCATAATAACAACCTCAAATAAGATCTGTCAATCTTCTACAAAAAGTCAATGCATACATGCCTGCACCAAGACATTCTTCTCAAAATCTCAGCTTCAAACGGCCCGCATAATGCAATACTGTGATTATTATGCTATAATAATATGTTATATAATAACATTATGCTATAATATAGCAACCATGTCTCTTTCAGAAAGAGGCAAAGCAGGAGTGAGCAGCACCTTAGGTGATTTTGTGAAGCTCACTTAATAAGTCAATGGGAGAAAGAGGGCAGAAAGCAAGTATCTTCAACTCCAACCTTCTCAGCTCACTGGTAGCAATGGCATCATCGGCTTCAGAGAAAGGTTGTTTACAGTTAAGGTAACTGCATTCACCCTAACTAAATCTGGCCTTATCATCAATTGGCTATGCTTTTAAAAAATAATCACAGACCTTGGGTATGTTTTGCAAGCACAATGTAGCTATTTAATGAAGTTATTCAGCAAATGCAACACTGCAAAGCAATAACTAGAACAATTTGTAGATAGCACACATATTATGAAATTACAGTACTTAGAGGTCTTTAAAGAACAAAAGACACTCCATAAATATAATGATTTATTTGGTTATTCTGCAGAGAAACATAAGGCCTGCAAAAAAATCACTAAACTTAGAAGTATGTATTTTTTTTTCTTTTCCCCTGTGTCAAAGTGTAATGCAGAGTTCACAAGTTAATGCTTGGAACTATTTTAAGCTATTTGGATAAAAAATGCTATCCAATTACTTTCCTACAGATAATAACAGTAAGAATCCTTCTGAATGATATGAAAAGTGCAGTGAACTGGAAAATACTTGTCACTCCTCCAAATCAATGTATTTGTTTTTGTCATAGCTGACTCTCCCTTTATATGGACTGATGATTTGTATATCAAACTAAGTTTAGTGGGGAAATTAGCTTTAGATGGTTGAGAGCTAAGCAGCTTTTCTTATTTGTAGTCAGCTTACTGCCATTTTATTACAGGCAAATAGGATTTCCTAAGAAAGGAGAAAAAGACTGACATTCTAAGGTCATGTCATAAAATATTATGCCTAAATATGTGCTTTTAGTGTATCTCACTTCACAATATTCCCAGTGAAATTCACCTCGCCAATGAACCTCAACATGTCTATGGCACTGGTTCTCAGCTGGGGGTGATTTTACCCCCAAGGGACATTTAGCAATGTGTCTGTCACAATGTGGAGTGTAGGGTAGGGGGTGTCCTCCTGGCATCTACTGAACAGAGACTGGGAATGCTGCTAAAATTCCTACCAAGCACAGACAGCTAGCAAAAGAAATAACTATCTGGGGAATTATCTGGGCCCCTACTGCCAGGAATGCAGTGTTTGTGGTTGAGAATGCTGATGTAGGAAGCAGGGGTATACTTTTCACACCCCATCACTTGGTATGGAGCTTTAAATGTTGGACATACGTGAAACCACTGATTTGTGTTCTTACTAAATACACAATGGTAAAAATGAGAGCTAGTGACTTCTTCTAGCAACAGTATAAAACATTGTCAAGTGTGCATTCCCAACACGTTCTGATTGACTCTATTCATTTTGCATTTTATAGAAAAGAGGTGTTTAGAAAAGTATGTGGCCTAGCTTCCTTAGGGATTAAATTCTCAACAAGTTTCATTTATGCCTAAAGTTTACTGTGGACTTTAATGAGACTCTAACTGCTTATACAGAACCTGCTGGTGTAGTTGAAATTCAAAGACAGATTCAAATTTATCTTTCCCAGTTTTTCCAAGATAATGACCAATCTTAAATTCAGTTCTTATTTCAACTTCACAAGGCTAAATGTGAGAGGATCTTGTTAGCAGCATTCTCACACATGCAAAGAAGTTCAGGAAATCATTGCAATAGAGACAGGGCAATTTTTTCCCAAGAGGGTCAGGACACTACTGTGCAGGAAAGGCTTCCTGGGTACCTCTACCCTACAGCATTCACACGTGTCAAAAGACCCTTTCAGAAAACACTTGTGCATCAGTCTTAAACATGAAGAATTCAATGATTTGTACCAATTCAGGGAAGTAGTGGAACTCTACCATACCATGGCAGTGTTAAATTACACATCACTTCTGCTCAGCCTTGGAGGTGGCATATGACTTTCTTTTAACCAAGGGGCTCATCTCTCTAGTTATGCTTGCTGAAGGCTAATATTAAAATGTGCTTGGATTTCCTAGTTGCATGCATGCTTCTAAAGAAAAACAACTCACAATAAAATCTGGAACTTGAAATGAATGAGTTGGTATGTAAAATGTACATACTTGACACCCAGGGCATAATGTGTATTGTGGTACACAGGAGAGGAATCAGGAAGGAATCATGCTAAATAACATACAGTATAAAGAGATGGATGTCTGGAGAGTGGAGGCACTTGAAAGTGACCACGCATATCTGGTATGTACTTAAGAGCTGATGAAATACTTTCATACATACTTCATTTGACCTTGTTCTGAAGGTCTCCATCTTACAGATGAAGAAAGCAAAGCTCCAGGAAGTTGAGACTCGCCGAGCACCCCAGAGTCCACCAACGACAGTGTGAGGTGGGTGTACACCACCCCTCCATGACTCTTTTCCATCCCATAAATTATCTGCATTTACAGGAACTGATCTCAGCTTGGTCTTGATCTGTTGGCACCCACAGACATAAAGCGTCATGAATTTGATCCTTAGAAGGAACATTTTTCTGGGTGTGGCACCTGGAAATAAATCTCTCAGAGAGATAGAAAATAAAGACAAGATTTTGGAGGGGGACCTTCTGAAGCTCTGGTTAACTCTATAAAGGGATCTACCCTCTGCAGGCTGCCTTCAAGTAGTTGAGTAGTAGACATTATCTGTGTTTCCCTTTGTCAATATAGTCACTATTAGGAAGGAAGGGAATGGTTGGCACTAATAAATTTTGAACAAAGAAATGCCTTAAGGCCTGAATCTGTCTTATAACAGTTTATAAAATAGAAAAGACTCAGTTAAATACCCATGGACATAAGATTCAAAATTCTGTGGAAATTCAACCCCAAATAAAACGAATAGTTGGACCACATAATCAGCAAGGATTCCAAGAAAACAATCAACTAGGATTGGAGCTATCAAATGAGTGATTTTCCATGCCACTAAAGGTGAAGCTCATTAAGATAAATTAAGTATGAATCATCACACAAAATTATTTCCCTTAAAAAAGAAGGCCTATAATGATGAGCTGTGAAATCAAATGCCTAACGGTGGCAAAAACTCAGGAGCAACAATTTCCTTAAGTATTATAGATACCAGTTAGCATGTTGTTCACGAAGACAGGTGATAAGTAAGTAGGTAAAGAATAACAATGATAAGAAAAAGTAAGTCCTATTCAGCCTAAAGAAAAAAAAGCTGCAATTTAACATGGGTTTAAAATTTCATAACAGATTCATACAAGGGCCCTGAGCAGGGGTGTGTGTGACTTACGTTATTTGTTCATTATTTATGAAATACTGGCTCCATTCAGCGTGCATAAATGGGTTTACCATTTAAAACACACTTTCACATGCTTTATCTTATTTATTCCACATAGCAACACTAGTTAGTATTACTGTGCAAATTACTCCATTTCAGAGAAGAGAAAACTAAGGCTCAAAAATAATCAGTCCAAGAGGACAACATTAGGAAACAACAGGCCTAGACATGATCACCAGGATGCTCATAAAACAAGAATTCATCCTTGAGGGCATTCAAAAGGACTTCAAAATACATACATACACACACACACACACTCACACATTCTAAGCTACAAGTTTCTAGTTGGATTTTCAGGTACAGAGGGACTCTCTTTAACAAACAGCATCAGTCAGCTAGTGGGTGATGAAAAACCAGGCATTTTTAAAAAATCAACTATTAAGTAGCAGAATAAATGAGTTAATGATAAAAACACACAGAAAATATATGGAGCAAAGTTTAAAGGAGGTAAAAATAATCAGTGTTTAGTATCTCATGCTCTCCTATGCTCTTTTACTCTATCTTAAGTTTTAATCAACTGTCTCTTTCTCTGTGTCCCCCATCCCCTCCATCTACAGAATATCTAGATACTAAGAAGTAGATCTGTATTACTTCATTTTCACACTGCTGATAAAGGCGTACCCGAGGCTGGGTAAATTAAAAGAAAAAAGAAAAAGAGGTCTAATGGCCTCACAATTCCATGTGGCTGGGGAGTCCTCACAATCACGGTGGAAGGCAAAAGTCATGTCTTACATGGCAGCAGGCAAGAGAGAGGATGAGAGAGAAGCAAAAGCGGAAACCCGTTATAAAACCATCAGATGTTCTGAGACCTATTCACTACCATGAGGACAATATGGGATGGGGGAAACCGTCCCTATGATCCAATTGTCTCCCATTGGGTCCCTCTCACAACACATGGGAATCATGGGAACTACAACTCAAGGTGAGATTTGCATGGGAGCACAGAGAAACCATATCAGGATCCCAGGCTCTGTGTCCAGAGCCAGGTATGCCAAGCCCTGGGATACCCACAGCTACCCATCACTGAGCTGCTTCAGTACATGGCTTCAGGAATTCGGAGCCTCCTATCTCCATCTAAGGGGAGTGGAGTGACCTTCAGGCAGCCTCCCCGAACCCCAACCAAAAAGGTCAGAACTACCATCCTCCCATGGCACCACCTCACACAACATTCTCCCACTGGCCTCTTCTTTCACTGAAACAAATACACTTGATTGTGTTCCTACCCGGCAGGGGGTTTATTTTACTTCCCCTTCATGCTTCTTCCTTTGCTTCATTATCCCTAGTCTTCCTGCCCTCTCACTCTTTTCTGCTAAATGCTTCATGAGTATTCCAGGCATAGGTTTCACACAGTTTGATAGTCACCATCTGCTATCAAGGAACTAACTACTCATCCTTCCTTCTTTTTAGTTCTGAAAAATGTTAAAACATTCTCCTAAAAACGTAGAATATTTCTTGTAGAACCTACAATAAATGTCAATTATTTGATATTCTCCTTACAAAGTATTACACATTTATATCAACTATTTCTCTTCTGTTCAATGAACTCAAGTAATTACAGCAATTCTCTGAATAGTTATTATCCAAAACGAAGGAACTAGAAAAACGTCATGTTTACTTAACAGCAATCGTTTTCTATTTCCATTATAACAATCACTACAAATTTAACTGCTTCAAAAAAGACAAAAGTATTGTCATACAGTCTGAGGATCCAAAATCTGATATGGGTCTCACTGGGGAAAATCCAGGTGTCAGCAGGGCTCTGTCTCTTTCTGGAGGCTGTAGGGGAGAATGTGTCTCTCCTTTGGGGTGTTAGGAGAATTCAGTTCCACAGGTTACAGGGCAGAGGGCCCCTTTTCCTGGCTGGCTGTCAGCGGTGAACTACTTTCCTAGAATCCTCTGTGTTCCCCTGGTATGTGACCCCTACATCTCCAAACAAGCAATGGTACACAGAACCCAAGAAAGGTGTCCATTTTTCAAGATTCATGTACTTAGTTTGGGTCCACTTGGATAACATGGGATCATCCTCTTATTTCAGACCTTTAACTTAATCACATCTACAGAATCCCTTTTGCCAGGCAAAGTTATATCTGGACAGGTTCTGGGAATTAGGGTAAGGACACCTTTGGGTATCATTCTTCTGTCTACGACATAAAAGGAACAGATTGGGAAGATGAGCGTTTTATCCAGTATGGGGTATAGTTAGGGAAGAATGCTAGACACATGGACCACAGTCCCAGCTGGGCCCCAACAAGCTATGTGATTTTGCCCAAATCATAGAATATGCAGGGCCCAGCTTCTTTCTTTTCTTTTGTTTTAAATCGGGCCAGTGTAACAGATGGCACCTTGGTTCATATCCATTTGTTTCACACATATTACCAAGTGCCTATACAATGACTGGCAGTGAGGCAGGTACTGGGCCACAGCAGTGAGTAAACCAGAGAAATCCCTGCCTCTTGGAGCTTATATTCTGGTGAAGGAAGATGGACAAGACAAGCTAACCAAGACAGCAGTAAAAGAGGTAGCATGCTAAACAGTGATATGTAAATCAGGATGGGATGTAGGAAGATCAGGGGTTAAGAGTTCTGTCATTGTAGACAGAGAAGCCAGGAATGGACTCTGTGAGAAAGGGAGGGCTGGGGGCAGAATTCCCCTCATTTCATGCCACAAGAGCACACAGTCTGTTCTGAGGTAAACAAGAAGATGCATGTCTGCCCACCGCAAGCCTTCTCTGTCTGTGTTGCACATGGATGACTTAGGACCAGTTAGCATGGGTTGCCCAGCTCTTCCCTTTACACTGTCAAGTCTACATAATATTGTAATAAGATTATAGAAAAAATGCCTTTTTCTAAAATAGAAAGACTCTTAATTTATAAGTGAGAGACTGATGTAATAGGGACATCAAGGAAAAATATTCTAAACTATTAAGTGGCAAAGTAATTTGACTTGTCAATTCAACATTTCATTAAGTATTTCAAATGGCAGTGTCCAAATGGATGGGATTTTACCACTCATTCTCAACCCATTACTTTCTGCTGTATCAAAACCTACATTTTCTATATTACCTGAAGCTTCATATGATTTGCATTAGAGAGAAAAACAAGAAAAAATTTCAAGAGAAGTACACCCTTTCTACCTTACAAATATTCAGTGCATTACCACAGTGAGCACATTGTTATTTGGAAATCAATCAATTGAAGTATTTCCCAGAGATAATGCATTCTGAACCAACCAACTTTCAAATGTGTTTGGACTGAAACACATTAGAAGAAAATGAAAGAATCAAAATGGAACATTAGATTGAAAAGTTAAGAGACCTGGGTACCAGAATTGGCTCCCACTGCCACGCAGGATAATCTTGGGTGCATAGGTACGTACATCACATAAAATCTTTCCATTCACCTCTCTGTTAAAAACATAAAAGGCACCAGGCACGGTGGCTCATGCCTATAACTCCAGCACTTTGGGAGGCTGAGGCGGGCAGATCATTTGAGGTCAGGAATTCAAGACCAGCCTGGCCAACATGGTGCAACCCTGTCTCTACTAAAAATACAAAAATTAGGTGGCCATGGTGGCACATGGCTGTAATCCCAGCTACTCAGGAGGCTGAGGCAGGAGAATTACCTGAACCTAGAAGACGGAGGTTGCAGTGAGCCAAGATTGCACCATTGCACTCTACCCTGGTAAACAGAGTGAGACTCCATCTCAAAACAAAAACATAAAAGGGTCACAATAACACCTGTCCTACCTGATTTACAGAAGGACTTGAAGGATTGAATAAGAGAGTACATGTTAAAAACCCTACATCACTGCTACATAAATTTCAGGAATTATTATTGTTACCAAACTTCACCAGCTACTTGCTTCACATAATCAGTGTGAGATCTGAATATTGAAGGAAAACACTGACAAGTACAAGGAGCTTCTAGATCACAGTGCATCATGAGGCAGCAGCCTCAGGAGGGATCCTGGTGAATACTTTCATCAAACACATAATTTACTGAGCACTTAACCATCTATCGGGCCTGATAAGAGACACAAGATCTAAAGAACGTGGTAAAGTTCATTACTTTATTTGAAGTATTGAGATCAGCACTTACTGATTTCTTCAAATGGGAAATGTGGCTCTGTTACCTTAATAAGGTCCTCCCTGGAGGAAAAATTGGAGACTAAGTAATTTTCTCTGGTTTCGGTGTTGGAGATGGATACGTGCAGTCGATTCTGAGCCAGCTCGTGAGCATTGAAAGGAAGAATCAACTCCATTCCACTTCTAAAGAAGAAAAAACAATCTGTATTATTCACCCTTAATTATTGAACGCCTTATAAATATTTTACAAGGGAGAATGCTGAGCTTGCCACAGTTTGTACAGAGAGTCGTCAACACTCTGTCTTCATGTACTTTTGGGCAAAATGTACTCCATATACCTTAGTCGGGCCATGAAGTCATAACCAGGTGTTACTGCCCCGAAAGACTGCCTTCTGGTTTCTTCAGCAAACTTGTAGGTAAATTGGCTACATTCCTAGAAAAAGAAAATTAAGAAGTGACCCTATGTGTTATAAAGAAAGAAATCATTCCACTTCTAAAACTTGAGATTCTATAGACCCAACAGCAAATGTAGGTGTCACATCATTAAAGGTGTGCAAATTCCCCACCTGGCCAGGGCCTCAACCACCATTCTCAGGCCCTTTGCAAGTTATACATTCTTACAATCCTAATCTTTTTTTTTTTTTTTCATTTGTAAAGCACCTTAAATGGCCTTTGCCCTCAACTGAAAAATCCTTGAAGGTGCAATTTGAATTTTAATTAAGCACATTCTTCAAAAGGTTTCCTCAGTGCAATTAACCTTCTCTCCTACCCTAGTTTTGTGGTCTCAGCAGCAGTTTGATTACAACCCTACAACAGAGTTGATTACAAATGACAGTACCAGTGACAGAAATAGGAGTGGTGACGTCTATGGTTTGCACAGACTGAATCAGAGTCTTCGGAGATTCATCTTGGATACTGGCATTTTATAAAGTTTCTCAGGGATGCTCGTGTCTACCCTGAACTGGGATCCACGGAGGTGACACTGTCAGTTCATCTTCACATCATCCTGCAACACGGGTATAACCACCCCACTTAACAGATAAGAAAACGGAGGCTTGGAGAGTTCAAGTGCCTGTCCCAATATTTCACTAAAAATGAGTCTCAGAGTCAGGATTTACACCCAAGTCTGTTTTGTATTAAATAATGAATTAATTTAGCAACTAACTGGGCACCAGGAATTTGGCTAGGCACTGGGATTTGGAGAGGACAAGATACAAAGAATCTGTGCTCATGAGAATTGTAAGTGCCTCCAAGAGCAGGTTACAGAGGGCTATGAGAGTCCCCATTAGGTGTATTTGGCTCTCATTTAGTGCAAAAAATAAATAACAACAGGTAAATTGATTTGAGAATATGAGGACATTAAGTCTCAAATTCAGGTAAATTATTCAATGTCTTAACATTGCAGAATTTCAGTTAAGTGGCTATATTATTGCAGAGGTCTCTCTTCTCACCACAAAGATGTCCACATTCTAGTCCCCAGAACCTGTGACTAAGAGACCTGCTATGTTAAAAGGGACTTTTAGATGCAATTAAAAACCTTGAGATGAGGAGACACTTTTGGATAACCTGGGTAGGCCCAATGTCATCACAGGGGTTTTTGTAAGGGAAGGAGGGAGGTGGGTAAGCCAGAGTTAGAGAGATTCAAGACACTGTGCTTATGGCTTTAGAAATCAAGGAAGGGGTCAGGAGCTAAGGTGTCTGGGCACCCTGCAGAAACTGGAAAATGTAAGGAAATGAATTCTTCCCTGGAGACTCTGGAGAGAGTGAGCATGGACATTTTGATTTTGGCCCAGTGAGGTCCTTTCAGACTTAAGACTTCCAGAGCTGGAAGATGATAAACACATGCTATTTTAAGCCACGAACTTGAAAGTCCTTTGTCAAACCAGCAACACAAAATGAATAGGGTGGGTGTCAACCTCCAACCTCATGAGTTGCCAAAGGTTTCCCTCCAATTTGATACCTGGGCTGGGACTTAAATATAAACAGGAATGGGACAGGGGACAAAGTTGAAAGCAGAGGATAGTAAAAACAACAGCAAGAACAACTCTGAGAGGGGCACAGAGCTGAAATGTGTCCCTGTGGTGTGCCACAAGTAGAGCTAAGTCACATGGGGCCTTGTGATGCATGCTGAGAAACCCAGGCCACATTATCCTAAGTCAACAGAGAGCCCCTGCCCCGGGGGGCGGGGGACAATGAAATGATCAGATGTGCCTTGGGTGATATCACTCTAAGTGCCATGAGGTGGGTGGAGTGTAGGGAGCTTTAATGGACATAGGCAGCAGGAAGCTTCTAGGTGAGAAACGGGGTAGCCCCACCAAGCGTATGTTCATTTTACTGAGCTAGACTGCCCATCTAGCCTATTTCTTTGTACTAATTTTAGTTATATTCAATATTCTACATATCCTAGACCAATTCATCTTTGACTTCCCCACTGAGTCTACCACCATGGCTTCCTTGCATATTGTGAGGGCTGAGGAAAGGCTTGCAGCACTGAGCTCTTCCATATCAATGTCTAAATTTGCCTGCAACCAAAAATATGCCCAGCATCAGGTGCTCCTCTTAATTATTCATGCATAAGCTTGGAACAAGATTAATTACACATGTATTTCTCACAACAGTAAAAAGCTTGAGGAACTTACACCATCAGTGAGAACTGAGTGAACACAAATCTGAGTAGGTAGAAACATTTGCTAAAAAATTCAAGGCTATCCTACAGGTAGATTATTTCAAATGCTAAAAATAAAGGAAATAACCTTAAGTCGAAAGGTTACTACGGCTGAAAAATTATTTTGAAGAACAAATGAGGATGCGACAATGAAACAAAGAAAATTATTTTCCACTTTCCTATGGGAGTACCAGATAAAGACACCTTTTCATCATACCAACACCATCAGACAACACAACCCAGCCTCTCATTTGGTGCAAAAAATAAATAACAATAGGTAAACTGATCTGAGAATATGATGATATCAAGTCTCCAATTCAGGTAAATTATACAATGTCTCAACATGGCAGAATTTCAGTTAAGTACAAGTGGCTGTATTATTGCAGTAGTTCCAAATCAGGTTAATTCTAAATCATACAATACATTTTTTAATTTTCTCAGAATTAGAAACCAAGTCTATGTAATTCCAGAGCTCAGGATTTGCCACAGCTGAAGTAAAGACTGCAGTAAAAAGCAAGAAGTGATGCCCTGAGAGTCCTCTGCTTCAAAAACGAAACACAGTTATGGGAAGGAGGTAGCTTGTAATTCAAAGCATATGATTCTGCTAGTTTAGGGGAAATTTTCCAACCTCATTTATACCTTGCATGACTTAAGGTTCTCATCCTGTGTAATCTCTGCAGTTTGAAATCACTTTTCTAGTTCCCTGTAAATCAACCATATAAAGACAGGAAGATAAGTGGATTTCTGAATGATTGGCCTCAAACCTAGCTTCCCTTTGATAAGCAGCTCACAACAGATCTGCAATGAGACTTTGATGTTTAAAATTGCATAGTTTTGGAATTTTAAATGTGACTGAAATTCATTCTTGGGCATGAGGGTGTTAAATTGTTATTTCACTATAGTTCAAAGCTGCTAGAGTATGTAATGATTAACAAATATAATATTCTCCAACTACAGAATCCAGCTCTCACAGTCAGCAAATGATTGATCACTGTGTGGATAGCAGAAAACAGATTTTTAAAACATAGATTGCATTAAATAAAATACTTAATGAAGACTCATTTGTATTAGTTCAGGATAAATTGCTTGGAACTCAGAGCTTCCTCTTACTGTGAGAATTAAAAAGGAATTAAATTCCTATACCACTTAACAGAAACTGCATGCCCACATTTTAATTTATATATATATATATATATATATATATATATATTTCTAAGTAGCAGTGAGTACAGACTTGTTGCTCACATGTTCATGACCTTGAAAACAGGCCCCATGCTTTTCTCATGAGCATAGAAACAAATATTATTTGCTTGAAAGGAACAGAGCTAGAATCTTAAGGATAAGTAAAAACTCAAGAGTAATATAAAGCATTTTATTTCCTTATTTCACTGTCACCCAAAATAATCTTTTCCACAACCAGAGCACAGATCCGTAATGATTACATTTTAAATGAGAAGTCCTAATCCTTTCTGTTTCCAAGGCAAAGGATTATTTCTCTCCAGTGTTAACTTAGTTGAGTCAATGCTCATGTTTGCCTTTGAGTCTTAATTTCTTGATGAGGAACACAGCCTAAGTTACTACTTAATTACCTCTATTTTTTCTGGTGCTGTTAACAGAACAGAAGCAACCAAGGATCCCGCAGAAGCACCAGCGAAGGCTTTGACAACCTTCAGAAGCTTTTTGCCATGTTTGCAAAGTGCAGATGCTGCCCCCAAGTGGTAAATGCCCAGAAATCCACACGCTGCAAATGACAAGTTGATGTGCTTCATTCTAGCTGCAGCACTGGCAATACAAAAAACAAAAATGCTTAAGTTGGAATAGTTTACCAGGTACTGTATAGTCGTATGCTGATCATTGTTCCAAGGCTTTCATCTAACATCATCCCTTGCTTTAAGCACAGTCGTTTCAATTAATTCTAATTAAACACAGGAATCTTTCAAAGAAACATTTTCTTTCTCTCCTCACCTTGACCTCTGCTTCAACAGTACAAAGTCTTCAACAGAAAAAATTTTTTTACAACATTCCACATTTATTCGGTAGATTATTATGCAATCTAAGATTTAATTACTTGTCAAGAAACTAATGTAGAATTACAGTTGGCAAGGGCATTTGGTCTTTTCTCTTGAGCCTCTGAAATATTTTGCAGGGTGGGGGCGGCGCTACCATTATGGAAAGAGAAAATTATTAGAGACTGTATCAAATTCCAAATGAAAAATCATTTTTTCTGGGTAAGTGTATCAGAAAATGTCAAATACAGCTCCGTACTCCCCTTCCCAATTTCTATTGTGAGCACCCATATTTTTTATAAAGCCAAAACAATTTTTCAGTAACGCAATAAGCAATCACTCAACAATGCAATACATTTCTTTGCCAAGTATCTCAAGACAAACTGAGGTCATGACTGGTGCAGGCAAATTAACGCTCCATGCAATATCAGCCACGCCACTTTATACTTGCAACACATCTAAATACAAAATTATATGTTTTCCTATGCCTCAGTGGGCATAATTTGCCCACTTGAATGAAATTGTGCCTCCACAAGGCTGTCCATTCTGAAGGTCTCAGGGTTTCCCTGGGGGCCCAAGGGCCCCATTCAGGGACCCCAAGATTAGGCACATTGCCAGGGCCTCGAAATAAGGGACCTAAGACAGCTTGTTCTGATGCACCCGGCCAGGCCCTGTGAGGGCAGGAGGCTCGGCCGCCGCAGGCTGCGCTGGCGTCCGCGTAGACTGAGTCCCGGTCATCGATCCGGGGCCGAGCCCCAGTTTTGATTCCATTTCTGCAAATGGGGACGGGTAGAGGGTTGAGTGCTCAGCATCCAGGAGGCCAGGCCCGGTCAGCACAGGCTCAGTGCCCTCCGGAGGCTTGGAGGCCGGCGGGGCTGGGGTGGTGCCCGCATCAGTCTCGCAGAAGCACACCACAACCCTCCAGGCCCATGCTAGACCCCAGGGTTCCGTACCAATGCAGCCCCGGGACATTTCCGTGTTGAACATGTCCCTTTAACCAGAAGGCGGGGCTGGACCGTCACTCAGCCCTCTTCCGCCTATGAAGGCCGGGCTACCCTCGCCGCGAGCCTGCCCAGTAAAGTCCTGCGGCAGGGGTAGGTGCCGCCTCCCGCGCAGGTATGTGACGTCATCGCGCCGACGCAGGCGTCTGTTCGGCTCCGCCTGCTCTAGGTAAACTTCTGTACTTAACGTGGCCGCTAGATCGGAGCGTCCTCCAGCGCAGGCAAGACTTGCTCGTTTAGAGTTATGTTATCTTCGAGTGAGTACCTAGAGAGATGTTTAGAGACAGGTCCACACCTCTTTAGGATGTGGGCCCTGGAGAGGTGTTTTCATCCCTGCGTACCTTTTAACGCTACTTGGCCGTCACCCGCGAGCCTACTGACCTTTAATGAGTCTCACTTTCTATGCCCCGGAAGAGCCCACCTCTCTTCGCGTCTGTTTCCCGGAAGTGATTCCTCCCTCTCCACCTTTGCGCCCGCCTGGGTGATCCAACTGCCGCTAGGGGCGGAGTCCAGGGGCTAAGCGGGGGCTGGACCTCCTGCAGCCTTTCAAGGCTTGTCTTTAGTTTTTTTCCGAAGTGCCATCGAAAAGAAAGGCTGGACTATGACCCTGGGGAACGTTCACATCCTTAGTTAACCTTATGCTGTGTGACCTTGGGCAGGTAGCACAACCTCTCTGAGTTTCCCGTGTGCCTCATGTGCAGATTGAGATGATGAAATGAGAGAGCTAAATTGTAAGCTCGTTTCACATAGGGGGCCGTGAGCAGGTGGTCGTTTTGTCCTCTGGCACTACTGGCTCAGACTTAAGCAGCTTCAACGACTGCCAAGATGCCTGCTATGGTCACCAAGATTTAAAGGGCTCTGACAATTCTCTCTCTCCCTAAACATTGTTTTCCCTATCTAATCCTAATAACCAAGCCTGGAGGAATCTGACTTTGTGATTGAAGGCTCTCCAGGTCCCCTGGCTTAAGGACAGAGATTTACTTTCTGAGGCTACAAAGGAGCATCTGGGAGATGGCTAGAGAGTCTCTACCTTAAGCAAAACAGGGAGGAGGGGTGAAGCTCTACAAATTGTTTCTGGCTTGGGCTTTTTCTTTCTCTCTCTTTTGGGGTGTCTTCTCTGGCCAAGAACACCTGTGAGTCCTTGATGTCATGACTAGGAAAGATATTTTGTTTTTAATTCATGTAACTAATCTTTAGAGAAAATGGATCCTGAAAACATGTTATTTTCTGATCACAGAATGACTGCATTACTCAGAATTCTTTACTTCCACCGGAATTTAGTGAAGGGAAGGCACAGCCTACATTAGGAAAATACAGGACACACTCCAGTCCTTAAACCTTCCACAATCCTCTAACTCTTTAAGTCCAATATGATCCTCCCCAGAACTGCATCCTCCAGGAAGCTCATGAGAAAGGAAGAATCCCAGGTCCCACCCCTGATGTTCTGAATCGGTATCTGCATTTTAACAGAATCCTGAAGCACTTGTTTAACCCCTTTGGTGATGTTATGGTCTGAATGGATACCTCCAAAATTCACATATTAAAATAACCCCAAGGTGATATTAGGAAGTGGGGCCTTTGGGAGGTAATTAAGTCACGAGGGTGGAGCCTTCATGAATGGGATTTGTTCTCTTAGAAAAAAGACCCCAGAGCTCCCTTTCCACCATGTAAGGATACAAGTACAAGAAGATGGCAGACTGCAAATTGGAAAAGGGCCCTCCTCAAAACATGATCATCTTGGCACCTTGATTTCATACTTCCATCTTCCAGAACTGTGAGAAGTAAATTTCTTTTATAAACACCCAGTCAATGGTACTTTATTATAGCAGCTTGAATGGACTAAGACTGGTGGTCTGGTTTAAAGTGATGTGGTGGCATCAGAAATTTAAGGAGAGATTGGATTCACAGAACTGGAATCTGGAATGCCATTGACAGAACAAATATTTCCTGCACTTGAACATTGTCAGCAGGTCGATTCAGGAGACAGATGAAAGCTTTATCACCGGGCAGCCTGGATGAACGTCACAACTTTGAACTCTTTCACATAAAGGAACGATAAGGGCATCCACTATTTCTACACCTAGCTGGCAGAGTGAAATCTCACCAAAGGTAAGTCTCTTTGGAACAGCAAAATGCTCCATAATTTAACTCCTAAAATTTTAAACTTGTTTCCTCCTTACTCCCTTCTGCCTCATATCATATCTCCCTGTAACTAGTTAAGAGTTCAGTCCCCAGCTGGGTGAGGTGGCATGTGCCTGTAGTCTCAGCCACTCAGGAGGCTGAGGTGGGAGTATCACTTGAGCCTAGGAGTTCATCTTCAGCCAGGGCAAGGTAGTGAGACCTTATCTCTAAAGAAAAAACTAAAAGAGTTCAGCTTTCTCATGTAAGGAAGAATATCATATTCATTCACATTTGTCTTTGTCATCCCATTGTCAAGCCTAGTACTTGGCACATAGTATGTGATCAATAAATATTTGTTTTGGATGTTGGATTTAAGTAAATTACCATTGTGATCTGAATATATAGTAATTTAATTGCCCTTTAAACTGTTTTTTTTAATTAATTTGCTTACTTTTGCTCTTTTGTTTTCCTTAGCAATTTAGTTTCAAATGGGTTTATTTAGCCATTTATCATATAATTATTAAGCATCCGTTGTATAGCAAAGGTTGCATTGGTACAGGGCATACACAGTTGAAATAATTTAACCCTTATCATCAGGGATGCAAGAGTCCAGTGGGCAGGGAGACATCTGATGTGTAATTACAGAGGTATGATGATGTGGTATTGCAAAGCCACACACAGATACCCTGGTTGTGCACCAGGAGCTACAGAGTAGGAAAGCTTTAGCTCTAGGAGGTGCCTAGAGTAGCACCCAGAACATAAACAAAATGCCCCAGCTTGATGGATCCTTTTCCTCTCTGGTACTCCCTCCCAGGAGATTTTATCCTGTATCCCATAAAGGCAGAGAAATGGACATGGATAAGGGATGCTTGTCCACACCTCTGCTCCAGGGACAGGACCATATCTCAGAATCTTTGAGTCTGATCAGTTCTTCCAATCTACTCTGCTTGTGGTGTTATTTCATTTTCCCCCCTTAGCATCTTAATGCCTAAATATCTCTTGTCAGTCAACACTGCAAGTATTTGTTTTTTTTAAAACAACAAATCTCTTGTCTGTGTTTGCAACTCTTGAGCCTGTGGATGCCACTATAATATTACACATTGAACTGAAAAATAGAGATGGTAAGGATTTCTTGAGTGTTTCTGTTGTTGTATTAGAATTCCTTAATTATAGTGCTTGCAACTGGTGTTCCAGATAAGTATAAGATAGGGCAGGTAAGCTTTCAAAGTTTTCGTGCATAAACAATGTATTTTATTTTCCTGACTTGCTGTCCCCACCACACGTACCCTTTTCTATTTGGTTTACTTAAGTTAGTTAGAATTGAGTTTCTAAAGCTTGCAAACCAAACCATTCTTACTAATTTAAGTGCTTTTTACATTGCACATGGCTGTTTTCCCTCTATTAAAAATATGCCACAAGAACTGACTACTTAAAGGAACACTGGGTAAATTCTTTCTAAATGGAATAATATTTTTTCAAAAAACGTGAATTTTATATATTTACCATATTATATATATATATATATAAACATTATTACATATTTATTTCTGTTATAAATATGGTTACATATTTATATAGAACAAATAAGACTTTTCTTTGATAACATCTGTGTTTAAGTCTGTTCAGGCTGCTATAACAAAATACCCAAAACTGGGTGGCTTATAAACAATGGAAATTGTTTCTCACAGTTCTGGAAGATGAGCATTCCAGGATAAGTCACTAGCAGATGGTGTCTGGTGAGGCCCTATTTCCTAGTTCGTAGATGGCACCTTTTTGCCTTGTCCTAACCTGGTGGAAGGGGCAAGGGGCAATTCATTAAGGGTACTCATTCCATTCATGAGGCTCCATCCTCAGGACCTCTTCCCCTCCCAAAGGCCCTATGTCCTAACACCATCACCGTGGGGGGATAGGATTCCACAAATGCATTTTTGGATGGAACACAAGCATTCAGACTCTAGCAATCTGAAAACATAATTCAAAGCAGACATCCTTTAGAAATATAATTTATTTATGACTCAATACATCTGATAATATGTGATAATCTTTAGGTCTTTTAACATGGTGTTGAAACTCAGTATCAAACTATTTCTATTAAAGAGAAACATTTTTAAAATGTGACATTTATTTTATAAGCTTCTTTTTAATTTAATATGTGAGGGGTTCCAAATGTAATGTTATGCACTGAGCTAAAAAACAGAGATAGTAAAGCAGGTAAGCTTTCAGAGTTTTCATACTTAAACGATATATTTTGTAGAATATGGGTTGAGATCCTTGATAGCCAGGGGGTGAGTGTGTGGTACCACATGTATACATAATCCTAAATATTTTTAAAAATCCCAATCAAAGAAACCTGTATTGTCTGCTCTGTGTACTTTATCAAAAAACAACTATACAGTGGACATGGCTGCTAGGGGTCCACGAATTGTGCAGACATAAATAGTCCTTTCTGGCCTTCAAATATTTTTCTTACCATGGAGCTGATTATTGAGGAAATAATATCAATGTCAAGTAAGTAATATTGTTGGGTGATAAACAGGTGGACAGCTTCAGTACCTTATGCTCCATAAAATTCACCAAAATACTGTATTTTAATTTGGAGTACAGGATCTTGTCATTACTGGTGCTGTTATCAAAATAAACACCCTAACTACTAAAACATTCAATTATCTAATTACCTCATTTCAAAGAGATAAAATAAGGAATTTGGTCTATTCTTTGTTAGTAAAGTGCCTTGTTTTCCTAAGCATCGACTCCTATTATTAGACTCTTATTACTAATATTTACTACACTTACTGCGCACTCCATTCCAGTCCTTTGTATACATTGTCTCATATCACTTGTACAATGTTAAAAGATAGAAACATGTAATAGATGACTCAAAAAAAGAGAAATATATAAGAGATGAAAGTTTAAAGTAGCTTTTCCATATCCACACAGAGGTTATAAGGCTAGATTGACCTGCTCTAAAGCCTTTGCACAGACCTCCTTTCCCCTCCACTCTTTCAGAAATGGATTAGTGAAATACTACGCTCTAATTATATGCTAAGCCTTGTGTTATTTGGCTACTATGAGTCTCAGAATCTTTCTCCCTTAATTCTTTCTCTGTTCATAATTTGCAGTTGGTATTTATATTTGGATATTTATAATTTAAAAATAGTAAAAGTCTTAATAGATGTTATATATGAGTTTATTTTTAGCACTTAGAGAACTTGTTTACGTCTTGAAAAGAAAAATAAAGCAAGCCTAGCAATTAATTAAAAATACCATTCTCTATTGATCAATTGCAGCAGTAACTCTTTTTTATTTCTCCTTTTCCTGGAAGCTGTGCCATAAAGTAGGTGATGGTAAAACAAACGTAATTTCTATTAGGAGCAATGTTATAAAAGGGGCTTATGTTATTGGCTAAGGTCTAACTCCAAATAAATTATATATCTATTCATTTGTCTTCATGCCTTTGCTCTCATTAGATAAACTTTTTTGTCTAATATATGAAAAGATCCAGGCTAGGCATTAAAAAATATATTTTAAAAGAATTTTAAGGAAACTTCCTTTAGTTCACTATTTTCTTGCTCAAATGTCCTTTCATATTTCTTTGTCCCATTAAGTCCTACTTTTTCTTCAAGGCCTAAATCAAACTCTACTTGTGGAACACATTCAACCACTTCTGTTAATCTTAGTCACACTCTCATCTTTGTTACTACGTGTACCTTATTGCTATAGTATCTCTGACCTTTTATTTCAGTTAAAGATATGCTTGCCACCACTTTCTAGATTTAGAGTTCATTTGGAGCAGGGACTATGACTTGTACTTTTGGCTTTCTCCAGCACATAGAAGTTAGCTAAAGCATGGTAAATGAGTAAATGTTTATAAGAGTTTTCAAACTGGGCAAGGTGTGGTGGCTCACATCTGTAATCCCATCACTTTGGGAGGCCGAGGTGGGCAGATTACCTGAGGTCAGGAGTTCAAGATCAGCCTGGACAACATGGTGAAACCCCATCTCTACTGAAAAAAAAAATACAAAAACTAGCCAGGCATGGTGTTGGGCACCTGTAATCCCAGCTTCTCAGGAGGCTGAGGCAGGAGAGTTGCTTGAACCCAGGAAATGGAGGTTGCAGTGAGCCAAGATTGCACCATTGCACTCCAGCTTGGGTGACAGAGTGAGATGCTAAAAAAAGACGAATCTTTAAACTGCATGTTTCAGATATCTAACTAGCTTTAACAGAGGAAAATATGCTAGTTTAATCAAGGAGCTAGTGGTAGTGCTAACTGCAGATATGGCTGGGTCAGGCACTCTGTGAATGCTGTTACGACCATGTATTAGTCCGTTCTCACACTGCTATAAAGAAATACCAAGACTGGCTAATTTATAAAGGAAAGAAGTTTAATTGACTCACAGTTTCACATGGCTGGGGAGGCCTCAGAAAATTTGTAATCATGACAGAAGGGGAAGCAGGCACCTTCTTTACAAGACAGCAGGAGAGGAGTGAGCAAAGGGTGAAAACCCCCTTATAAAACCATCACATCTTGTGAGAACTCACTTATTATCATGAGGACAGCATGGAGGAAATGTTCCCATGATGCAGTCACCTCCCTTCCGTGACACATGGGAATTATGGGTCCCTCCCTCAACAGGTGGGAATTACAATTTGAGATTAGATTTGGGTGGGAACACAGAGCTAAACCATATCAGGCCACCATTTTGCCACTTCCTCTCTGTGTTTCTCTTTAATAGTTTCATTCTGCAGGCAGCCCCACACCTTCTTAGCTTATCAGTGGAAAAGTCCTTTTATCACTATCTCTGTCCCAAATTTAGAAAAAGACTCCTGTTGGTTTTGTTTTCATTACATGCATGTCCTTGCAGTAATCAATGTGAACAGCAAATTATGATACATGATAGTTTGAGCCCATGAGGAGATAAGCATGGGCCGTGCAGACAGTGGGTAAATATGAATGGATGCACTGCTGGTCCAGAAACAGTTGGGTGGGG